CCGACCTTCTGGGGCAACAGAAAACAACTCTGTACCATCCTTTAGATGACATCCCTTTAAGTACTTGAAGATGGTTATATCACCTCTCAGTCGTCTCCTCTCCATGCTACACATACCCAGCTCCTTCAACCTTTCCTCATAGGACTTGGTCTCCAGACCCCTCACCATTATTTGATGTGTGTGGGAGAGAATTTGGTACATGCCAGCACATATCCCCCTTTCCAAGTTTGTAGCTGGGAGGCATCACAACCTTACAAAAGCCCCCAGTGATTACAAGATTTATTTTTTGGTGCAAGTATTTAGAGATATCAGGCTTGGGGGGAAAGCCCGCTCTTTCAAACTCTCCCTACCAGGAGCTGGATTGCACAGTCCAAAAGCATCATCCAGTCACTCGAGATGCATAGTGCTTTGAGAGTTCCACAATAGGAGCCTGTAGATGTGCACCAAAAGCAGCACAGTTCAGCACAGGAGCCAAAGGACGAAAAGCAGTTCTGGCTTTGTTTCTAAACTACTTTAAAGGGAAGAAAGTTATGGGTTTTAGGATAAGAACTGCCTAATTGTTACCTCTGCCTTTCCCCAGATGTAAAAGTCCAGAACTTCATAATGAACTTCTTCTGCGACCCAGATCTCAGCAAAGTGACTAACTGCATGGAGCACGCCCTGCAGGCCAGGCATCCCCGGACTCGATATAGCGCTGGCTGGGATGCCAAGTTGCTATGGCTTCCAGCCATCTACCTGCCTGCTTTCATAGTGGATATTGTGCTGGCTAACATCTTACCAAAGCCAGCCCGTCGTGTCCGCTAGACTCCAAAGCCTCTTTTCCCTACCCCAGACGAAGCCTGTGACCCGGCTATTGGTGTAAAAGAAACACTGAATGGTGCAAAATAAAGCTGTAATCAAATTAAAGCTACTGCCCTGACACCTGGCCTTCCCTCACTGCATAAGACAGGCACCTCTGACTGATACGATTTTGATATCACAAATGAGTAAACAGAGTTCTCAGGTAGAATACCTGATCCTGTGGAAGAAGGCAGAAGGGCGATTTAAGTGTGATGGGTAGGTGAAGAAAATCGTTATCTCCCTATTCCTACCACAACATCCACAGAATCACTTGCATGGTGGCTTGCCATTCTGGCAGAAATCTGCCTAGGAGGTAGCTTTTCAAGCTTTCTATCTGCAGGGAATACTTAGCATATCAAATTCATCTATCATGAAATACTTGTGCATTACAGAGGACCTGTAGGGCATGCTGTAGGTCCGTTAAGAGTTTTCCATAGTCCCACGCAAAACCTACACCACACAATACTTTCCCCTTATCTGCACGTTGCTAGAAATATCAGTAGTATTAGTCAAGTCAACTTCAAGTGGTATTTCCCGTGCAGTCACTGACTTAAGAAATTTCTGGCAAGCATTGTCAAATCCCAGGGTTCCCTGGAACATAGATCAAAAAATATTGACCAAGGGAACCTCTTTGCTACAGCAGACAAAACTTATAAGGCAAGCAGGGCTTCTACTAGAAAGGGGGACAGGTGAAATCAGAGGGCTCAGAAACACCTGGATACAGGTGAAGGCAACACTTTCAAGAGAGCAAATGTGGTGTATTGGTTAACAGCTGCAGGACTCTAATCTGGAGAACCCGGTTTGATTCCCCACTCCTCCACATGAAGCCTGCCGGGTGACCTTGGGCCAGTCACAGTTCTCTCAGAACTCTCTCAGCCCCAACTACCTGTTGTGGGGAGAGGAAGGCAATTCTATGCTGCTTTGAGACTCCTTAAGGTAGAGAAAAGTGGGATATAAAAACTAACTCTTCTTCTAAGTAATACACACAGTGCATTTTCCTCCTCCCAGAATGCTACCACTTATGAATCGGTAACTGGGGGCAGGGAGGAATGGGCTTTTTGTCAGGGTCAAGCCCAGCACCCTCTCTTCAGACACATGGAAGTGAAGCTACATAGCGGGAGGTATGAAGATCATCTGACCCAAAGGGGGATGAACAACGACGGCCTACCAGGTAACAAAGGCGGTGTGTGTGTGGGGGGGGGGGACATAGCACAGACACAGTTTGTCTTTCTTTGCAATTGGCTTGGAACAGAACAAAAATGTGTGCCTGAGTTTGTACTTTGGCGATTTCATTGAGGGATGTGAAGTGCTCCGACTGCGATGGTATCTCACTCCACTTTTTAAGAGAGATTAAAAACTATCCAGGGATGTATGAGGGTCTACACTGGTACTGGGGGGAAAGTCACTAAGAAAAAAAAGTTCCATGCCCAGAGTCCAGAAGCAAGGCTAGCTGGAGAGAGGGCTCTGCTAGTTTCACAACTTCAGCCCCTGGAGGAAGACAGAACGGTCTTTGGCCAAGACTAGACAGATCTAGCCTGGGTCCTATTCCATCTAGGCTTGCCTACACCAAAGATGTTAGTGCAACTGGGACAGCAGAAGACACTTGGAGAAATAGCTTCCTCCGACAAAGGAAGCCGCAGAAAGCTGTCCCTGCAGGAGCGGTCTCTCCCAGCTCCATAGGGAGCTCTGGCCCAGTTAAAACTCGAAGACAGAAACGGGGTCATGCTGACTACACTTCTTGGGCCACCTTGCAACGAGGAAGTGCAGATGATTACACAAGATTTTTTATGCCTTGCCTAATATTAGACCATGTTCACTAATTCCTTTGACATACTTTACAGTAACTTTATTCTCGGTAACTTTTGAAACCATTACTGTTGGGCATCACACACTGTGTCACTAATTCAAGCCTGCTAGCAAGCAGCTGGTACCAGGGGTATATATTTAAAGATGGTAAATGGACCACAGTCTAAATTGAATTTGGCTTCATTTGCAATTAAGCTACGCCACTTCCTTTTTCTTCCTCCCCCACTACAAGCATTGGGGATGTATGCTTACCCAACAACTGAGGCCTCAAGACCTTCAGAACCATTTTAACAATCCAAATATAGACAAGTACACCTCTAGCGCCAGCTCAGAAGGAAGGAACAGTTATGCGGTAGATTACCCACAAGAGATTGGTCTGAGAAGCCTTCTTCCTGCCATTGCCTGAAGTATTTTGGGGCTAGGGCTAAAACATCCTTTCTACACGAGACTGGCTTATTCGTTAACACTGGCAGAGGTACACCCTTTCAAAGCCATTTAGGTAAATGAGCTTTGAAGGGTGCAACTCTGGATTGCACTGTAAGTTTGTTTGCTCAAACCTGGTTGGTTGCCATTCTTAAATCGCCTCAATACAGGGCAATTTCAGCTACACGTAAGTACCCTATTGTAGACTTTAAAGGCATCCAGCATAAAAGAAGACCAGGCCAGCATCAGGGCCTAAATTAAAGTTCACTTTGGAAATAGTTTGGCAGAACTGTAAAGTAATAATGCTTACACACGCAGGTGAAGATGCTGCAACTGGAGTGAGTTAAGAGGAAGTCCTCTCCCTACCAGGTACCTACTATTCTTAAATGGTCTAGGGTACATCTAAACGCTGGAATCTTTACACAGAATTAAGGCTCTTCACAACATCAGCAAGGTCCTCCAGTTTGGTGTGAGAGCCAGTTTGGTGTGTGAGAGCCAGTTTGGTGTAGTGGTTAAGTGTGCGGACTCTAATCTGGGAGAACCGGGTTTGATTCCCCACTCCTCCACTTGCACCTGGCTGGATGACCTTGGGCAAGCCGTAGCTCTGGCACACCTGTTCTTGAAAAAAAGCAGTTTCTGTCAAGAGCTCTCTCAGCCCCACCTACCTCACAGAGTGTCTGTTGTGGGGAGGGGAAGGGAAAGGAGTTTGTAAGCCGCTCTGAGGCACCTCTGGGTAGTGAAGGGCGGGGTATAAATCCAATCTCTTCTTCTTCTTCTTCTTCTTCTTCTTCTTCTCCATTACCAACCCTGAAGGACTCAAGGGTGTTATCAGTCAAGTTTGTGAACAATGGTAAGTCAAACATGAGAAGGATGAATGTGTATTTACAGTCACCACATACCCTACAGCACAGGAATGTAGTTCAATTCATGTAACTACTGGCTCAGCATGGAAGCTGCTCCCACTGGATGGATCCCCCCACCACCCCACTAATGAAACAAACAGTTCAGTCATATTAATAGGCCTCCATTCCCAAACTTCCACAAGAGAATATCAGAGAGGGGAATGATGCTAAAGCCCAAAGTTACAGAAAAGAGAGGATTTAAAGATTAGAAAGTTCACCCAAACCGGGATAAAGTTAAAACAACATTCAAACCTTTTGGGGAAACAAATGCCTTTATTTTCCAAAATAGTGACACTGGCTAAGAACAAGACCCATAATTAATTTCCCCCCTCATCTCCTTGCAGTTTCCCAAAACAACAGTTATCAGCCTGAATGAAGAGCCTGCCTTTCTAAGGCAGGAAAGGAGTATCCAAAAAAGCACAAGATAATGTGCTTATTAGGAGGCACACCAAGAGAACAAGCTACAGAAATCTAAAGAAGGGTGAATCTGGGGAAAGCAACAGTTGGAGAGTGCTTGCTGACACCTCATAAGAATACGAGGAACACCTGCCGGGAATCCAGCAGCAGCTGCATGGCACAAGATGCCCACTAGGTGGCAAAGTCTAACGGCCCATGTGACTATAAAGGATGACAAGCAGTGTGGGGGAGTTAAGGTGCAGAAAAAGGTAACTTTGAAGGGGGGTGGAAGTTATTATATATAGGGGCTCCAGCTTCTTGTTAGAGGACAAGGGAAGAGATAGGGCCACAAGTAAATCCTTCCAGATGGCCATATACAGTTACAAAAAAGCAACAAGAGAAGGCACCCACCCGTTCCTTTCCCATGATAAAGCCCCAAAGTACATTGGATCCGGCCATTTGCACCCCAGAAAGGAGACAGAAATATTCCAGCATTTTGCGCGACTGCTGTGGCAGTAACCAGATGCACAGCATGGAGGAGCAGCTACATGACTTCGTAGCCACTGCGGATTCCTTTCATGAGACAGCAGGCAAAGATGATACCAAGAAGCTGAAAAAGAGATTACAGAAATTGTATCATTCACAGGCTGGTTGTTTTTGTTTTTTGGAGGGGGGCGTTATATATGCAATCAGATAATCTTACACACTATATTGAGCAGGGGAAAGAAACTGAATACTTTCTCTTATCTTTTTGCAGCAGAGAAAATGTCCAGTAGATCTTTTAAATTGCATAACCTCAACATTTTCTATATAGTCCCACCCCTTCCTGACATGCTCACCAAGCTTAGTTTCCAACTAGGCTGTTACAGCCTTTAAGTATCTCAAAGTGGGACTTCTATTCCCACTAGACAGATGCAGACAACAGTAGTTTTGTTTTCTAGGTAACTAAAAGGGGTACAATAAGGGTCATCATCACACAGTGTTTATATATTCATTTCAGTAAAAGGTAAAGGTTCCCTTGCTCGAAAGCCAGTCGAATCCGACTCTAGGGTTGCGGTGCTCATCTCCGTTTCAAAGCCGAAGAGCCAGCGCTGTCCGAAGGCATTTCCGTGGTCATGTGGCCGGCATGACTAAACACCAAGGCGCACTGAACGCTGTTACCTTCCCACTGAAGTAGTACCTATTTATCTACTTGCAATTTCTTGCTTTTAAACTGCTAGGTTGGCAGGAGCTGGAACTAGAGACGGGAGCTCACTCTGTCATGCAGCACCCTCGGGTCTCGAATTGCTGAACTACCGACCTTCCACAGCCTGCAGTTCAGCGTCTTAACCACTTGAGCCACCACAGCTCCATTCATTCCAGTAGTAACTGCTTAAAGTTTTTCTTTTCTTTTAAACATTGCTTCAAACAGCAAATGTTGCTTGACTACAGACAACAGAGGAATGAAGGGATGTGTTTGTGCACCACAAAAAACAACAACTCCAATCACGCCGTCTCCAGACCCAACCCTTAGTATCCATTTGCACCTTCAGCTCAGATAAATAAGAGGGTCTGTGGAAACAGATACTGAACTTTCTGCTAGTACTGTGTATCTGAATATGGAATTGAATATGGAGCTTTTTGGTTTCATTGTGGGTGGCTGGGCTAAGCAAACAGCGAGGCATGGCAGCAGGTTTTGACCTACAAATAGCAAAAGGGAGAAAGGAGGCTGCATACCCACAGGGGCCCTATTCCAAAATTTTGTGGAAATACCTTTTTTTAAAGCCCTTCAATGCCTAAAAGTGCTTAACTGTAATGGGTCTTCCCTCCAAAACACAAAGTTTTATTTCTCCACCGATGTAAAGAGGCTTTTGAGAAGTGCTCCAGTAACCTTTTTATGTCTCATGTTATATAGGTTGATCCAAATGATAATTAAGTTCCTCACTTCTGGTTTGGCTTCATAATATACAGTCAGGAAGAGGAGAAGCACACCAGAGCAAAGGAGGCACCTGCATCCACTGGACAGTCCTGCGGTAAGCATACGTCTATGCAGCGCAATAATTCAGTGCACTCCTAACCTCAATATGACATCCCGCTGGCTATGCATTAAGGATACAGCAAATATCTCAGCTCTGGGGGATAACCACATGATCTTTGCATTCTTGAAGACTAGGCAATCCAGCTATCAAATTTACACAGTTACACTCCAATTTATGGAACTTTAGTAGCATGCAACTCTGAGGCTTTGGTCATCCACTCCAATTTATGGAACTTTAGTAGCATACTGCCTACTGCAACTCTGAGGCTTTGGTCACTGTATGGCAGGGCTGTATTATATTCCACACAGTTTCCAGTACAAAAAGGGGAGCAATGTTCACTGTACTGAGAATCTCTGTTTACTAGAAGGAGGAGAAACGTTAAGATTACAAAGCAAGCCTTGGGAGCAGATGGACAATGCCTGGTGAAGAAACCAGAGATGGAGAGTCAGCTGGGCTTCTAGTGACATAAGGTTGTACCTCAGAATCGTATATTGCTCTTTGCTTCCCTCCATGACTTACAAAAGCAGATTTTTAAAAGAACAGTGTTGGATGTGAATATTATTATTCAGACTGCAGATTTTAGCTTTAGCACACAAAACGTTTTTGTTTTTTTAAAGACTCCGGCCTCACCTAGTGCAACCATCATGTAACCCATGCAGTTTTGTAGCTGTTAACAGCATACAGGGATCAGGCATGCCTGCTTTTGCCAATAGGTGGTGTGGCAATTAACTCCCTTTCCCCCCTTCCATACTTAGTTAATGAGCATGCTCAGTGCTTGTAGCCTTCCCTAAAGGAGGCTGGGTATTCCCAGCAGCCAACAGTTCAGCCTGGCCCAGAAAGAGGCAACATCTTGGGGAGAGGCCTATATAGACTTTGCTGTGTCAAGGCCTGCCTTGAATTATTGCAGGTAAATCCTGGAGTCAACTGAGAAGAGCTGCAGCATCCCAAGTACAGCCTGGAAACCTCATATGCTGTTCCAGTATCTGTGAGCTTACAACATATGGACCTACAATATATGTATTATTTATGCGCTTAGAATTTTTTCTGTTCTGTGCATCCTTGTGGATGCTGAAGATATCTGTACTCAGTAATATCCTGAAGATTTATTGCTATGAAGTAATAGCAACCAACCAGAAGTGAATGAGGATTTATATGAAAACCTCCATGCTTTGTTTATATGAAGAGTTTATTTTAAATGTTAAAGTGCATTGGTTGTATCGCCTCTTTTATGTCTGTGTTTAAGTACATGTGTAGTAACAGCAGTTACATATTCTTAATAACCATAGGTGGGAGTTCCGCTGTCAAAACCAACTGAACCTGCCCACTCTCCCTGCAGATATTAGGACCTTAGTGGGTTACAATCACATTACATACGCCCTCACACAATCGCCCTTCCCCACAGACAGTTAAAATTCTTAGTACCTCAAAGAAGGCGATGCCCAGTGCCACTCCTGCAACAATCAGAATGTGTTTCTTCAGCCATCTTTCTATTTTTGACACACAACCCTACAGGGATAGAAAAATGGGACCAGCGTGAAACCCGGGTATCCGTGAGGAACAAAGACCTTCCCCACCACCTCAATCGATTGTGACAGTTCTTCTCCACACATACCTCTTGGAAGACTTTATCAGGAGTTGGGTTCTTGGTACAATCAGTTGCATTGGGCTTACAGCATGATGAAGGCACAGTATGGTTCACGACAGCTGGATCTGTAAACCAGTCAGTGTAGTTTGCAGCTCCACAGCAACTGAACTAAAATGGGGTGAGAAGGAAGAGAAAAGGGGGGAAACTGCATGAAGAAATGGAAGTCAGCCTCTTGCAGAATCTTACCAGAAGGAAAAGCTTCAATGTTCCTACCCTGCACCTAACCCCATGCATCAGAGCAGATATTATTTCCTTGGCACATTCATCCTCAGCCATTTCCCAAGACTATTATTGTTCCAATTTCACAAAAAGGGAGGGGGGGCAACAATAATGACCACCCACAGACTACAAAGCCATTTAGTCCAAGCCCAGCACTCCATCCACCAGATCACACTCCCTGATGGCAGAGTCTACCTTTGAGAGTGGAGGGTGTGTGGCCCTGTGCCACATTTATGGAAGGTGTGGAAGTGGCCACAGGCTTACAGGATAGTTATAGGTAGACCTGCTATCAATGCCAGCTAACAGAACTTCCATGAATCCTCAGAAAAGGAGATGTTGGGGACAAACCAGGGAAGGCATCTGCCTTCATTCACCTGCTTGTGAGACTCCCAGAAACACTTGCTTGGCCTCATTTGGAGAGAAGAAGCAGGTCGGACCTTCAGGCTCTCCTTATGCTTCATGATGAGGATCCAAAGAACACAGGCGTAGCTCTGCAGTCCCAAGACTGCTTCAAGCCTGGGTTTCTCAAACGAACAACAGCCACCTACCCCCTGGCAAATCGCTTCTGAAACTGAGCATGCTCTCAAAAGCAGCCTGTGATACAACAGCAGCCCGTTACTTAAAGGAGCACACCCAAGGCCTTGACTGTGTGTAAAGCAGCAGTGTAGAGCCTACTCTGACCACTTTTTTGCCAGCTCAGATAGGCTCCTAGTTAGGAAACACACATGCACACAACAAAGCACCCCCCATGATTTTGCCAGAAGACAGAGCCCTCTTGTTGCACTCACGTCTGTCTGCAGTGTATCCAAGTCATGTTTGAACGTTCCATTTCTAGAGTATCCATGCATATCTTTCCTGATTTCATCATCAATCCCTTTTCTGATCTTTGAACAAAAAGCAAAGGTGAGGTGGTTGATAGCTCATAAGGCTTACCCCTAGAACACACGTGGAGTAATTAACTGCCATATGAAAATGCTTTTGCGGGAACAAGGGTGCCTTCTGGATGGCCTATAAATTGGTGGACTTGACTCCTGGAAGATTCAGGGGTCCAAAGAAAGACTGCACTCTCTCATGAGACTCCCCCTCAACTCCCCTTTCCCTAGGGCCTTTTGGAAATGGCAGCGAACAGCCCTTTACCCGCAATTCACAGGGTCCAGACACATCTCTTACCTGGTTCTTGAAGATGTAGCCAGCAATGGCAGCAGCAATCTCCACCAGGAAGATCAAGGTCAGAAGGATAGCAAACTATTAGGGAAAGTATACCATTGTTAAAGACCAGGAGCGTGTGTTAATCTCTACTTCATCTCATCTACCTCCACCCTATCCCACATAAACCCTGCCTGTTGAAACCAAAGGCTGCACCCACGGGGCAGAAGCAATACCCCTAAACAGGAAACAAAATGACAGAACTCTCCACTTCCGCCATCACCTTTTTAGGCCTATCCACTCAGGGAGCACAGCACCAGCTCTTAATGATTACACTAGATTGTACAGCAAAGTTGATAATTTTCCTACGCCCCAACGGCCTTAAAGGGGATTAGATCATTCTTGGAGGAGAAGTCAATGTCTACTAGCCCTGGTGACTGAGGGGAACCTCCACATTCAAGGGCCCTAAGCCTCTGAATCCCAGAGCCAGGAGGCAGGGGTCGTTTCGTAGAAAAAGAGCTAGGGGAACTCATTAGCATACCTCATTAGCATATGCCACTCCCCCTGACATCAGGGGCCCGGCAGTGGACCTGCAAGGCCGGCGGGAGTGCGAGGAAGCCCCACCAAGGCCCTCCCTGGCCCCAGGCAGGCAGGGGTGGGGAGAGACGGGGAGGAAGCAACTTACCCTCCCTCTTCTCCTGCCTCCTCCTGGCTGAATGAGGGCCGGAAGCGGGGCGGCTGGAAGCAGGGGGCGGGGCTTCGTTGTGTGCCCCCCCCCCGCACCTCACCCGGGGGAACTGCAATCCCCCCCGAATCGACCTCTGCCAGGAGGCAATGTCAGGGGAAGGCCCTTGTTGTTGGCCATCCAGAGGAATTGGTTGGCCACTGTGTGAGACAGGATGCTGGACTAGATGGAATCAGGGTTGCCAGGTCCCAACGACATGCTGGGAGCAGGGAGAAGCACCATGATGTGCCTATGTCCCCAGGGAGTGACATAGGCATGTTGGGGATGTTGGGCAGTGACACTCTGGTTTTTGGGCAAAACTCTATGGTAGAATTAGCTACAAATCATGGAATTTTGCCCAAAAACCAGAGCATCACCGCCTGACATCTCACATGTGCCTACATCACTTCTGGCTTATGCAAGCACGTTGCACTTATTTCTGGCTTCTCGGAGGTAAGAGGGGGCAACTGGAGGTGAGAGGAGTGCCTGAAAGTGAGAGACCCCCATCTGGACGAGGGGGTCTGGCAATCCTAGATGGAATATTGGTCTGATCCAGCTGGGCTCTTCTTATGTTCACTCCATGCCATGTATATTCAAATAGATTTCACTGAACAGCAGATAAACCACCATGAGGGAATTGTATGGCTGCCGATTTCACTGACAGCTGTAAGAAGCACAAAGCACAGCAAAGAAATGGCAACCTTGCAAGAGGTTCTTATCACAGACAAAACGAGGAGGGCCTAGTGAGAAAACAAAACACAGGTGGCCTGACTCAAAGAACAGGACTGGGTATTTCAGAGCTCTACCTCTAACATAATTCCACATGTGTGCAGATTTGTAGAATTTGTCCTTCTGTATTTTATAAAAATCTGGATTTCAAGGATGTGATGACATGGACAATGCAAATCCCAGAAGAAAGAGGGGTATGAAGAGGTTTCTAACCACATTCTAGGTGGTTAGCAAGGCTGAATATCAGTGCTTCTTGCTCCTCCTCAAGACACCCTCAATCCTAAATTTTCATTTCACTCCACACTTACACACTCCATCAACCCTCACCGTGGTCACCATGCAGTAGTTCTCTTTCCATGCTCCGCAGCAGCCAAAGAAAGCAATGAAGAAGACGATAACGCCCACAATCAGGATAACAATGGGAACTCCTGAAGTGGACACGTTGGTCATATGTATGGAGTCATTCAGCTTTATCTGTACCCAAACCCCCAAGGCAATGAGAGCGATGCCACAGAGCTGTGTAGGAGAAAAACAAGATGTCAGCAAAGCAAAGGATGGGAAGTCCTCGCACAAGGAACCAAAGGTCTGTTTGTGTCCATCCCAACATCTGCCCTAACAAGCAGTTCTACTGCAGAGATGGAGGATGACAGAGAAGAAACCTACATCGGCCAAGCAGCCAAATTATTTCTTCCTCAGCATACACAGGTTCAATGATTGTTAGACAGAGGGCCAAATTTTAAAGAGTTGGGTCTGAGTTCCCCAGACCCAACTTGTGTTCCCCAGATTAGCTTCTGAAACAAGGGGCTCAAAACAGCACGGGGGGGGGGGGGAGGAAGGGGTCCTGCCTCCCCCACAAGCAGTGTTTCCTCTAAGCTGAGTGAGTGGGAGCCTGCTCACAGTTTTTTAGCCTCCGGCTCACACGTTTTTGTCTCGGCTCGGGAAGGAGGGCTCCAGAGCAAACTGATTCCTGCAGGAGCCAAATGGCTCGCTCACCACTTTAAGGCCAGGAGCTCACAAAGTAGAATTTTGGCTCACAAGACTTCACAGCTTAGAGGGAACACTGCCCACAAGCCATTTTTACACATGAAAACCATGCTGGGTTACGTTATTTCCCTAATTTTGCTGCTCCATGTGTAGTGTCTGTGCATGTGAAACAGCATAACCCCCACCCCCACCCCATTTAGTTTTTTTGCACGAAAATAGCTTGCAGGAGGGAGGCAGGAGTCCTGCTTCTCCTGAGAGTGCAGCTCCAATCCCACCCGGACTCTTCCTTTTTTAAAAAAAGAAGCCATTCCCCCCAGTGGCTGTGTGGCTGCAGAGAGCATGAGATGGGTCCAGGAGCCTAGACCCAACTCTTTAGAAACAGTAAGGTGTAGTTCAGCCCACAGTTTATCATACTGGTAGCTTAGCATACTGGCAATGCATGTCACAATGACAGGGTATACACTGTACAGTTGTTTAAAATATCACGTTCAAGCTCATGTGCATGGCCAGTGTGTTCCATCTGAATCTGTGGCAAGAAAGTGCCGACAGAAGCCTGCCTCTCTTTCATGGTCTGGAGAAGAAAGGGGAAATTATAAACTATGCAACGTCTAAAAGACAAATCTATTTAAACCATGAGACACCTATTTGAATTGTACTGAAAAGAGATTAATAGCAAACCTAGGTGTACTACCTGTTAAGGGAATGAATTAAGGACAGTCACCCATTCACCATAGCAATTGTGAAAATGGGGCAAAAGGAGACGGTTATCAAGGGATGTAGGCATGTTGGGGATGCTGGGCAGCGACACTCTGGTTTTTGGGCAAAACCCAATGGCAGAATATCACAATATCAAGGGCATCCATCACAAATACAGTGCTGGAAAAACGGCTCACACTAATGAGCTTTACTAACCCCACATGGCATACCACACTGAGCCCCCCCCCGTGCTCCACCCCCAAATATCCAAAAATTCCTCAACCTGAAGTTGGCAACCCTAAGTATAAATATTTTAACAAACAGAGAACCCAAATCAGAGGAAAGTAAGAAATTTAAGAACATAATAACATAAGAGACGCCAATGTTGGATCTGGCCAAAGGCCCATCCAGTCCAACACTCTGTCACACAGTGGCCAAAAATACCAGGTGCCATCAGGAGGTCCACCAGTGGGGCCAGGACATTAGAAGCCCTCCCACTGTTGACCCCCCCCCAAAGCACCAAGAAGACAGAGCATCACTTGCCCCTATCTATACCTTGTGGCTAATAGCCACTGATGGACCTCTGCTCCATATGCCTATCTAATTCCCTTTTGAAGCCGTCCATGCTTGTAGCCGCCACCACTTCCTGTGGCAGTGAATTCCATGTGTATTTGTTTATTTCTAGCACACCAATTTGTTTATTTCTAGCACACCATGTGTATTTGTTTACGTCTAGCACACCAATTTTCACATAAGGTTCTCAGTACATGTCTGACCCCGCCCTCCAATTCAATGATGAATGTTATGTCACCCACCCCACTTGTATATTCTGTATTCCTTTAAGAACTCCCTTTCTTTCACTGGCTTCTGAAGTAGGGTGTGTAAGTAAAGTGATCAGCAGTGTTCCCTCTAAGCTGAGTTAGTGTAAGCTGGCTCACAAGCTTTTAACCTCCAACTCACACATTTTTGTCTTAGCTCAGGAAAGATGGTTCCAGAGCAAACTAATTTATGCAGCAGCCAAATCGCTGGCTCACAACTTTGATGCCAGTAGCTCACAAAGTGGAATTTTTGATCACAAGATGCCAGAGTTTAGAGGGAGCATTGGTGATCAGCACATTCTCTAAGAAACTTCTAATGCAGGGGGTTCCCAACCCTTTTGACCCTGCAGGCGCCTTTAAAATTCTAACACAGCATGGTGGGTGGGCACAGCCACAAAATGGCTGCCACAGGCAGCGGAATGAGCCACACACTGGCTGTCTCAGCTTCCCTTCAATCACACAGTGACTGATCTTTGAGCTGTGGTGGCACCTGCTGCCAAAGCAATGTTCTTAACTATCTTCTCAAACAATCAAAAGTCTTGCCGGACAACAGCCTCACCCGGCCCGGCCCACTCTCTAAAAACACTCAGTGGGCACCAGGAAAGGTGTTTGCAGGCACTATGGTGGCCATGGGCACCGTGTTGGGGACATCGTGATTTAATGGATTTGGGCGCACCTTTCATGCAACAGCAATTGAAAGACACAGCCAACAATATTAATCAGTAGGACAAGGTAGATATGGCAGGTAGAACAGGAAGCATTGCACTGGCATTGGTACTTGGTCACACAGGACAGGGGCTTTTAAAAACTTGTTTGTTTTTTCAATTAAAGGTACATTAATAAAGTATAATTGACATGCAGTCGTGGCACAGTTCAAGACAAACCCCAACCAGCTGCAATATAAGAAAGTGCAGGCTATTCAGACTTACTACATGGTACTAGATTTAAACTGCACACACACAAGATAGGCGGTGCGATCTTGTGCAATCTTGTGCAGAGTTGCTCCGCTCTAAATCATTTCAATGGGCTTTGAGTGGGTTAATTCTGCATAAGGCAGTGCTGTAACTGAAGAGAGTTATGGGCGGGGGGGCGGTTGAAAGCTCATGAACGGCAGCTCTATTGTGTGCACAGCAAAAGTTTTACAAGACAAGGAACAGAAGTGGCACTAGAAAAATCATGCCCGTTCCTGCTAATCAGGAACTACTAGAGCCTACGCATGATCAGATGGAAGAATTCAGCTCGGGCCTGAAGCTGCAAAACTACACAGGAAGCTTTTCTGCTCCTCCACCGGAGACCACTGAAGCACACAGCTTCTTCCCTCTCCAGCTCGATGCACCACCACCCAGTTCCCAAACAATTTGCTTGTTTCCTGGAGCTAGTATTTACTTTGCCCTATCGCAGCAGGGTGGAGGCACTCAAAGCAAAGAGACCCAGCCCATTTCTAGATGGCACACAGTGACAGGGCGGGAGAGATCATTGCCACCTTTACCCAAACACGTGCCTCGTAGTGGATACCTCATTGGCCCAGCTGAACCAGATGGATGCCACAGATATGCCAGGTGGGGCAGAAAACAGCACACAAAAATGGGCTGTTAACTTTGTTTGATCACGGTAACCTGCTGATTCACCTCAACCTTGAGTAACCAACTTCCATTAGAACTAAAGTGAGTTCCTCTAGGTGCATAGGAGCGGGTCTTCTGGGGAACAAGCAGAGAACCGGCATTAGAAGGCTGGAGAGGAGAGGGAGGGGGCACGGCTCAGTGGTAGATCATCCGCTTAGCATTAGCATGCAGAAGGTCCCAGGTTCAATCCCCAGCATCTCCAGTTAAAAGGATCAGGCAGTAAGTGACATGAAATCTCTCTACTGGAGAACCTGGAGAGCACCCTGTCAATCTGAGTAGACAGTACCAACCTTGATGGACCAGTGGTCTTAATTCAGTATCAGGCAGTTTTCACGTGGTTAAACCACACGTGCCATTATCCCCTTCTTTACTGTAGCTTTGCCCTACCCCTTCCCATTAGCAAGGAGTTCAGCATCTTGCTTCAGAAAGAGACATTATGTTCCCCCCCCACAGCAATAGGGTGAGAGAAGTATAAGATACTGATTGAATAGCTGTCACTGTTTTCATCTTGCTTCAGAAAGAGACATTATGTTTCCCTCCACAGCAATAGGGTAAGAGAAGTATATAGCTGTCACTGTCTTTAGCATGGAGAGGAAGGGAGAGAAAATGCAGGCCATACAGCAGACACTTATATGACCGGAAGCAACAGCTAACAAAATCAGCAAAAGGCTGTCTCAAGCCTTCCCCACCCCCTATTAAAGGGCTTAACTTCCATCTACAGTGGGTGTTGCACTACCATCCGCTGTAGGGACACTGCTATAGGTGCCCCACCCCCTGGGAGCCTCTGGAGTAGCAGCCACCCTTGAAACGGAGAACTGCTTATTTTCTGCCCCTTGGACACTACCAGGAAACTTTGTTCCTTTACAGCTCCTCTTTCCCCACAGCCACATAACATCTGGCTGCTGCAAGCATTCGATTATACTGTTCTATCAACTCTCTTTTCCCCTGCTGTGAAGAGGCCCCATGGTGGCATTGTGTTTTCTTGGAAACCTTCCATACTTTCCATAAAACACAGGAAGCAGAAAAGGGAAGGGCAGCTCAGCAGTAGGTGGGCAGCTAGGAGCAGACAACTCACACACACACACACACTCCAAAAAGATCAAAAGCAAACAAATGCTAACACACAAGCATGGAGAGGAAGGGAGAGAAAATGCAAGCTATACAGCATACACTTATATGACTGGAAGCAACAGCTGACAAAACCAGCAAAGGCTGTCTCAAGCCTTCCCATCCCCTGTTAAAGGGCTTAACTTCCATCTTCAGTGGGTGTTGCACTATCATCCGCTGTAGGGACACTGCTATAGGTGCCCCACCCTCTGGGAGCCTCTGGAGTAGCAGCCACCCTTGAAATGGAGAACTGCTTATTTTCTGCCCCTTGGACACTACCAGGAAACTT